GCTTTAAAACAATAAAGAATAATAATTGAAAGAGCAGTTGTGTCACAGTTATCATGGTATCATACCAATGGAAATATTCGAATAATACTCTCTTTCACTGGTTGTAAAGATCTACTAAACATGTGCGTTAATAGTTGAATTGCTAAAAAGAAGGAAGAATTAACGAGTTGACTATAGAGGAATACCGTCATAATCTTATTACCAGTCTCAATAAAATTTAAAGCCTTTCTTGCCTCAAAATCAATTTCCACAACTTGTCCGGTTACGTTTGCTGTAAAATACGAAGAAACATAGTTATATCTTCATCACTAAACACAAGCTGTTTTAATTACCTAATGGTGTTCTTTCATAGATTTCAATGGCTTGTTCGAGCCTTTCTCTTAGTGAATCAATAAATTTATTCACATCTGGATGTCTCGTTGATTGACCATTTGGTAGCGTGATGTCAAAAGTAATTGATGTTGATATTGTTCTGAAATGAAGGTAGTTGACGTATTAATTACACAAATTATTATTCCTAGTTACTTTGCAATACGTTCACGAACTGCTTTAAATGGATGATCAAGTAATTCTGTAGCGTGTTTATTGATTGTTGTCCAAACTGTTGGTACTCGCCATTCAAAATTGGATATTGTCTGTGTTAAATACCAACGTGATGTTTCATTAAATGTATTTGCTAATGTTTGTTCAGTAGTTAATGAAAGAATATACTCAATTGGTTTGTACATTCGACGGGGATCTTCATCTTCCTTCCAAATAAACAAAAAATATTCGTATTTTTATCTTCCATTTGTTAATGAAAACTTACCATGCCTAATTTAAAACAAGTTCCCCAATATGTCAATGTTTCTGGTGATAAATTTGAAAACACTTCATTTAAAAATGGTGTCAATTTGTTCCAAAGTTCATCAAGCTAAATAACGATAATAAACTAAAGTTCAGAATATTTTCTCAACGACTCAACATACCATATTCACTGTCCAATATTTTGAGCCACGTATTATTCCAGCAGTAATTTCTGCTGCTACACGATGACTGCCTTCTTGTTTCGTTTTATCGTTATTATGAATCAATGCATACAGACATTCAAAAAAATTATCAACAAATTCCAAGCCAAAATTTCGAAATATGCCCTAAAAACACAACATCCTAAACAGTAATTAAACAATCCAATGAACGTACAAACATACTTTAAACATTTGAAATCGTCTTATGTCGAAATTGACTTGTCCTTCATCTTCATCTAAAACCATAAAGTGTATAAATTGTTTTATAAAATTTTTATCGGAAAAACGTTCGTATAATATTGATACATGTTTCGGTAAATTCGTTTTCTTATAACGTTCACGTTGATTAACTGGATATTTAATTAATCTAAACAAGAAAGATATGAGTCTAACAAATTATAGTCGTATTCGTTGTTACTTTGGCCAGGAATAATAACCCCAAAATGCTTTATCAAGAAAACACATATTTTCCCATTCTTGTTGACTTTTAGGTTGATAATTATTATAAGTTACCCATAAATTATCGTCACGATCACCAGGATGAATTCCATTTGGTTTCATGTTTATAATGGCTTCAATGGGTTTTTCAACATAGGTACGAGGTGGTTTTTGCAAACGACACAAGGCGGTCACACTTTCTTCTGCTATCTAAGCAACAATAAAAATAAAGTACTTCTTACAATGTGTTTTGATTTATTTAGCGTACTTTTCTTAATTCCACATTATCATGAACAAGTAAATCGATCATTATTTTTACACACGATAACGGCAATGGTACACGACGTTGAAGTAATATCTCCATGAACGACATGGCCATTTCTTGTTGTCGCCAAGTACTGAAACAGAGTGTACTACGAAATTAAGAAAGTAGAACGGATGGAAGAATACATCATCTTATCGGTACAAGGTAGGATGCTCAGGTAGTCAGTTGCAATAGACCAATGCCTTTCCTACAGCTGACAAGCTTCTGATATGATTATCCATATCTCATTACTAGTCATCAATCAACGCTCAAACAGCAACCTAACGCAGAGTTCGCCAATTGCTTCGGTTCCCCTTAAATACCTGCTCACTATGTGCTACATTTTTGGAAAGCCTGACGGACTACTATGTATTTCAAAACAGAATGCAGTCAGATATTTTTTTAATAACTTTTGTACCAACCGAGCTAGCGGGTTACAGTTTTCAGTTTTATAAGCTAGACACGGCACACGAATATCTATGGCAAAATAGAGTCGCTCTATAACGTTTACCATGGCAAGCCTTTCGAAGCGAAATGTCCAAATCTTGCCATTCTTAGAACTTACATAGTAACCTAAGCTCAAAAATTGTCTTACATATAGAAGAAATTCAGTTCTGTCCATTGCCACAAATCCCAGCCTTCCATCTTTGATGGTTCGGGAGCTACAGGCATTCTCCGAGGACCTTTCTATCCCCGATCTGACAAGTCTGGGAATCTAAAAAATACTTGGAACATAGATAATCAACTATGCTGATCATCGTGGCAACGTTTATTTTTGTCCGTAGGTTGAAGGGAGTTCACCTGCGCGTGTTTTCTCTATTTCCGTGTAAACTTCAAATAGTTATAACTCATTCATTTTTGGTCAGAACTGACTCAAAATTTCACGGAATATGCAGTTCTGACTGCGAAAAATAGCAGAACGAGCAACAGACCTACAAAGCCATTTTTCAGACCCTTGGTTTTACGGAAGGTTTCTGGAAATCCACCAGTGCCTTAGTGGAGCAGAGCAAGTTCTCCCGTCTTGAGTAGTATTAGATGAATAGGGATGAATGTCTCCTGAAATTCTGAGTCCGTTTTGACCAAAAATGAATGAGTTATAACTATTTGAATTTTACACGGAAATAGAGAAAACCCGATTTTCGGAAAAAAACCACACAGGTGACTGCATTCTATTTTGAAACAGATAGTAAGTGGAGATACTGTTTCGTACATTCTAACGGAACTCAATTCCACAAACGTTTGATACTCACAGTTGATCTCCGGCTAATAATGAGCTTAAATTTTCCATCAGATTTGTATATGCTCTAATATTACTGTCATTTCGTTCTTGACGTATTTCATCTCGCCGTTTTAATTCTTCTCGGAACATTGGACGCCAAATTTTTTCTGCTGCTTTTGTACTTTCTTCATTTGTCTATTCAGAGAAAAAAGAGAGATAGAACCACTGTATGTTTGTTACATTGTGCTTTTCAACTTACGTCTTCTATTATTGCTTGTGTATCATAGAGGCCACCAATTGTTTCGAGGATGCAATCAATAAGACGTTGTGTTGTAGGTTTTTTAACTGTGACTTGTGCTAATGATGGCCATAACTTCTCAATCATTGGCCATGAATGCTTTGTTGGCATAAAAAACGAACTATTTCCAAGTAATACGTACAAACAACCTTTTATTGTGTCATGATCGGTTTCTTCCGTTGATTTTAATAGTTCGAGTATACGATCAAGAATAACTTGATAGGAAAATAAATATCGTTTTAACATGGAAAATAAATAACCTTGAGCATTACTCCGAACCTTAAATTCAAAGGAAAATAATTATTACAAGTACTATTTTAAATGTTTTAGAGTGGCAACAACTTACTTCACCATATCGATTAATAGATAATTCAAATAATTTTAAAACGATTTGTTTATCGATTTCACTTAATATTTGAAAATGATTCAATGACCATTGCTAAAAAAAGAAAAAGAACAGAGAGTTAAAAAATTAATTTACTGTTATTTTAGATTGCTTTACCTTACATTGTAATATTATTCTTTCAATCATTAGAAATCTTGGATATTGCCGTTCACCACACAGCTACAATGAACAGATTAGTTACTCATAATTTGTTCATATAAGCACTGAAAATACTTGAATCTTACTTTGTTCGTAAATGAATGTTTTGTTTTTTCATAACGTTTCCATAATTTATCTGTATCATGTTTGAAATTGCCGTAATAAACGGATACTAATGAAAATATCTAAAATAGACTATACTTTGACAACTATACCTTAAGAAAAGACAGTAGGTGTGTTACATGAGAAAGTAGGCCTAGTCTAGTTTCTACATAGGGCATCCTATTGAGCTAAAACTCAGACTTTTTAAGGCTTTTGAACTATACTCTTTCATTTGGCTCTGATTTAATGTCTTTTAAAATGCATGAACGTCGGATTTCTAAAAAATCATGGCTTTAGGCATACCTGGATACAGAAAAACTTTTCCCTAGGAAAATGCTGTTCCTTTAAAA